GTACTGCTTAACCATCCATGAGATGAGCAAGGCTTTTCCACAGCTCCCTGCCCTTGCACATACAGTTCCCTCTGGCTAGAATTCTCATCCTCAACCTGCAGAATCCTCCTCATCCAGTTTCAGCCCCAGGATCACCTCTTCCTTCCTGAAGCCTTCCCTGCTCCCAAACACGACTTCAGTGTACCGACCTCTCTCTGGCACATCCTGATTGGTAGAACCACTCTACTGTGCTTTTGGCCTTGGTCTCACTTTTTGTGACCACCTCAAGGGAGAGACCATGTCTTCTTTATCTTGGAGTCAGGAGTCCTTAATTCCTTCTACCTGGTTCTTAAGAGGGTAGTGAAATGTTTTGGCATAAATAAATGAAACAATACACAGAAAATTAGTGTTGTCCTTTCTAAAATATTTCTCTTTAGTCAACAATCACTCTCCAAATGCCAACTATCAACAGTAGACTTGGTAGCCAGAGTGATGGAAGATATAATAGGAGCTTGTCAATTAAATAATATATTCTACCATAATAGAGTTGAATAAATTAGAATAAGTGTAAAGAACCTAGTGCAGAGCCTGGAACCTGAGTGGCCAAATGCTGGATTAGGAGGCAGAATAGCTTAATGGTTAAGATCGCGCATTCTACAGCCTGACTCTGGGTTTGTTTAACACGTCTGCACCGGGGGCAAATTACTAACCTTGAAGGGTCTCTGCTTCCTCAGTGGTAAAACGAGAGTAATAACTAGCTACTTTGTGGGATTGTTGTAAGAATTAAAAGTTCATAAATGTAAAACATTTAGAACAGCACCTGGCACCAAGGAAGCGGGGGCATCCTAAAAATTCTTTGAGTGATTTTGTCATTTCAAAAGTAAACATTGGGCTTATCCTAGCAGTTCCACTCCTGGATATAAACCAAACAAACGAATGTTCACGGCCAACAAAAAACATGTACAAGAATAGTATATTCATATAAATGCAATACTACACGACAATAAAAATGAACAAATTACTGCCACACTCATGGATGAATCTTAACATGGTGAGCAAAAGAAGACAAACATGAATTCATACTATGTGGTTCTACTTTTATAAAGTTCAAAAACGGACAACCCCACTTCCTATCACCATCATCTCTGTCCCCTGGGCTCTAGCCATACCTAACTGCACCCCAAGGACCCACTCCACAAATTTTTCTCTCCTAGCCTTTGTATGTGTAACTACCACAACTATGAATGAATGAGAAAGGGACTTTCGTGCTGTCTCTTCTAGATTGTTCCCCCAAAACCTCTCCGAGGTTTCTCCGGGCCCCCAAGTCTGGGTGACGTGCCTCCTTGGCATCCTGATCTGAGCCCTATCATAGCACTTAGCAATTAATTGTCCTCTCACTTGTCCATCTTCTCCAGTGTTCTGTAAACCCGTTGAGGACAGGCTCTGCTTTATTCTCCAGCCTGCAGGGCTGGCCTGGCGCACAGTAACTATGTATTCAATAAATGGAATGGACTTCCACTATTTCGTATGTAAAATGGAGTTGGGCTAGACGATCGACAAAACCTACTGGAAATAAAATGTATCAAATAGTCCCAAACCCATGTGCGCGGGGATTCCCGGTTTATTTTTGTTTGCGTGTGCGCGTGGGTTTTTTGTTTGTTGCATTCCACTGCTTACGAACCTCCCACGACCTCACTGGTCGGGAGAATAAGAGACTACAACTTCCGTGAGCCCTCGGGGCACCAAGTGGCAACTGCCCCGCCCACTGATGCGTCGCGAGGACTCCATTTCCCAGCGTGCCTCAAGACGCGAGGACTGCGTTTCGCCGAGAACGTCTGGCGTCGTGTTCCTGATCCGAACTGCGGTAGCCGAGGCCGAGTCGCAGGTAGAAAGGGCCCAGCCTAAAGTTCAAAGGGGACATTGGCCCAGCGAAAATCCGGAGTTGCACATACCTGCTTTTGCAACCTCCAGTCCATTCCTTGCTAGTCCCCTTATTAACGAACGCGCCTCGCGCGCGAGCCCTCTCTAACCCGCTGTCGCCGCTCCTCTGCCCGCGGCTGGAGGCCAAATTTCCCGACGTCACACAGGAAAGGGGCGGGGTCTCGCGGTCCGGCGTCTGGGCCCGCTCCCTGCGGCATCCTTTTGGGGACGTTGGCGGTGGGGGTGGGAGAGTAGTGAGGCTGGGCTCTCACCCGGCGGGAGGCCCTGCCCCTCACTGCTCTGGTTTTTGTCTCTACGGCAGCCGATGCTGAGTGGGCAACTGGGCAGGCGCCTGTTTCCCATGGCCGGCCGCGTCTGTCTGTCCCGGGGCAGCGCGGGATCGGGGGCATTCGGTCCTGTCGAGGCCGCCATTCGCACGAAGTTGGAGCAGGCCCTGAACCCCGAGGTACTGGAGCTGCGTAATGAGAGCAGCGGCCACGCGGTCCCACCAGGCAGCGAGACGCATTTCCGCGTGGCGGTGGTGAGCTCTCGCTTCGAGGGGCTGAGCCCCCTGCAGCGGCACCGGCTGGTCCACGCTGCGCTGTCGGAGGAGCTGGCTGGGCCGGTCCACGCTCTGGCCATACAGGCGCGGACCCCTGCCCAATGGAGGGAGAACCCTCAACTAGACGCGAGCCCCCCCTGCTTGGGTGGGAGCAAGAAAACCAGAACCCCCTGAATTCCAGGAGAGAGCGAGGAGCAGGATCCGAATGGGTTGTGTGAGATTTAACTACTGGGACCTCTTCCCTTCATTGCAGTCCGGTGGTGGTAATGGATGAGGACTGCTGGGCCCCATTCAGCCGCCACATACATATTCTCCAAAGTAGCAACTCATTTCAGATCAAAGCTGACCCAGAGAACGAGCAGAATCACTCGATACTGCTCTTGCCTTGACTATTCAGGAAAAGCTGCCCAGTCATTTCATGTTGAATTGTGACGAAGGAACCAACCACCAGATCTGATGATTTGGAAGTAATCCTGCACATTAAAAGAAGAATTATCATATGAGATGCATTGCTGTGTTATCAGTGGCCTTTTGAATCAGTGCTACAGGTGTTCTTGGGAGAAGGATAGGACGGACTTCTTTGGGGGAAGTGACCTAGTTGGATCTTCAAAGGAAAGCACAGGATTAAACCAGAAAGTTGAGGGAAGGTGTTGCAGACAAGGGGAAGACTCCCTTCCCCCGCAAAGGCACGGAAACTAAACTGCAGTGTGACTGATTGGACAAGACAGGAACTGTAGACACATTTGAGTTTCCTGGGGGAATGTTTGGCTTTCTAACAGCCTGTCCATTGCCAAAAGGATTTTCATTTGTAAGATAAATCTTTAGCGGGCGTGGGCGTGGGAGGGGGACTAAAGCAGTGAAAATATAACCTAGAAAATTAGTATAGAAGACAGAGAAAACGTTAGCCTTCTTGTTATGAGTTCCGAATGTTGTCATATTTCTGAAGAGAGCTTAAGTAATGTCTAAGCAAATCTCTGATGATCTCAATATGGAAATAGAATGTAAAAACTAAAGAAAAAGCTTGATTAACGTGTGCCTTGACCATTGGGGGCTAAAGAGTTTAGACAGTATCTGATTGGGCAGTAGGGGAGCCATTGAAGGGTTTTGGGGAAGGGCATGCCAAAGAGCATTGTGGGGCAGATCTGGCGGTGATGTGTAAGTGGGTTGGCACAGGAGATTGGAGACACAGAGATCAACCAAGAGTGAACATGGAGCCCTGACTTAAATCAGCTGTGTGAATGGAAGGGCAGGAGTTCATTAGAGAGCTGCCATAAAATCAGAAAATGGCTTGATTAGAACAGAAATGGACTAGATTGAGAGGGAAGTCTAGGTTAACCCCTAAGCAGCAGTTTTCAGATTTCCTCTCAGAGAAGAATTCCCAAAGGAGCTGTTTAAAATGTGGATTCTAGGTCCCCTCTCTTCCAAACACAGGATTCCGATTCTGTAGGAATGGAATCTGGAATCTGGAATCTGTATCTTTAAAAGAATTCCAAGAGGATTTGGAGAAAATTTGTTCTCAAGCAACATTACTCCCAAGTTTTTGTTTTTATTTTAGGGGTTTCTAAACATTTTAAACTTTATTTTTGTAAATTTTATTTTATTGTGGTAAGAACGCTGAAAATTGAGATACCGTCCAAATTTTTAAGGGTACCATGCATTACCCTTGACTCTATGTAACAGTGTCCGACAGCAGATCCCTAGAGCTTACTCATCCTGCTTATGCGCATTGGTTGTAAGTCCCCATTCCTTCTCACCCTAGCCTCAGGCAACCTCCATTCCACTCTTTGATATGAATTTGGCTATTTTAGATAATTCATGTATGTGAAATCATGCAGTAATTGACTTAGCATAATACCCTCATGGTTCATCCATATTGTCACATATTGCAGAATTTCCTTTGTAAGGCCATATAGTATTCCATTATGTGTATATAACACATTTTCTTTATTCGTCTGTCAGTGGACACTGAGGCCATTTCTATATCTTAGCTGTTGTAAATAGTGCTGTAGTAAACATGGAGGCCCTACTATCTCTCCAAGATCCCGATTTCAGATCTTTTGGTTAAGTACCCAGAAGGGGGATTGCCATATCATATAGTAAGTTCTGTTTTTAATTTTTTAAGGAACCTCCATATTCTTCTCCACAGCAGCTGCACCATTTGCATCCCCACCAACAATGTGCCAGGATTTCAATTTCTCCACGTTTTTACCAACACTTTTTTTTGTCTTTTTTGGGTAAAAGCTATCTGACAGGTGTGATGTCTAACACTGAGCATGTTTTCATATACTTATTTGGCTATTTGTATGTCTTCTTTGGAGAAATGTCTATTCAAGTCCTTAGCCCGTTTTTCAAATCAAGTGATTAGTTTTTTTGCTCTTGCGTCATAGGGCATTACCCCAAGTCTTCAAAAATGAGAATACTGAGGGGGCCCTCCAACTGCAGAAGTAGGGCCAGAAGAGAGGCCAACTGAGGAGTAAATGTGATACCTCGTGTTATTCTGGCCTTCAGTTTAGAGAGAAGTTGTTTTTCCATCTCATTATCATCCCCTCCCAGCAGGCAGAACAGCTGTAGGGTGTAGATGCAGAGGCAAAGAAGCAGACGTAGCCACTTTGAATTTTAAGGATTTGTTGTTTCCTTTTTATTTTTCATCAATTATTTTTCACTTCATTTTTCACATCAACAGAGTTGGATTTAGGGTTCCCTTGGAGAGCAAGGGGGATGGATGGGTCCCTCCAGGGGGTGCAGGGAAGAGGGCTGCGTCCAGCAAGTGAAGGGGAAGGGAAGGGCACACACTCATCCACTGGGCACTGGAGGAGAAGGCAGTCTTCTGAGCACAGACACCAAAGAGTTAAACAGTCACCACCTGGTTCAGTGTTACAAAATGGGGGGGGGACCATAAGGTGGGGGGCCCAGACGCAGCAAGAGGAAAGTGAATTTGGATTTTCTTTTTTGTTGTTGTTTTCACTTTTTTCCTTTTTTAACATTTTACAAACAGCTAAAAACTACAACACATCACAGCTACGGTGGGGAGGAAGGGGACACCAAAGAAAGCAGCCACATGGAGTGGGGTAGGGCAGGGGCAGCTTAACCTACAGGGGCTATTGTGTGGAAAGGGTGAGATGGGGAAACTGAGGCTTTGGTCCCTGCAGTAAGGGTCCCTGGCTGACTACCCAACCTCTTTCCACTCGGGAGTGGTTGCTGGGAAGCCCCTGCTCCCTGCCCCTGTTCCAGCTCCTTGTGCTTTGTGATCTGCTGGTTTGACCATGTGCCTGGTTGCTCCCCGTCCCCTGCTCTCCTGCCTGTGAGGGGCCAGGCCGGGGGTGGGAGGGCGGCTGTGCTGACTGAGTGGAGGCCTGTGCTGCTGATTGGAGGGGAGGTGCCTTCAGACCGCCCTCGGCTGTGGGACCCAATCCAGCCCGGCTAGGCCCGGGGCTCCTCCTCCCAGGCCTGGCACAGAAACACCATCCTGGTGGTACTCTGGGGGGCAGGGTTGTGTGTGTGTCCGTTGAAATTACCCTTGGCTTGCATTTTAGGACAGCATAGTGACACCCCTGCCCCATGGCGCACACACACACATCACACACACAGTCACACACACACACATACACACACACACACAGTCCTGCTGAGCTGCCTCAGAACTTAATATATAAATAAATAAGAGTCAGAAAGCTAATTTCATAGAATTCAGGCTTCTTATAGCCCAAATTGAAAGGGAAGTGAAGGCCAAGGGGCTGAGGTTTATTGCTGCTCCCCCAGCATCCAACAGGAGGTGCGAGAAGGCGCCCGAGGCCCTTCCGACTCTCAGTTCTTTTGGTCCGTGGTCTACACCAAGCCCCAGCCCCCAACATAACCACAAGCCCGTGGTTTCACCAGGGCCTAGGCAGAGGGAATGAGGGGGAAGGCAGGCAGCCTGCGCTGGAGGGCCTGGAGCCAGAAAAAGCGATGGTCCCTCACGAACACGGGGGGCGGGGAAGGGGGGGGCCAAACCTTCTCTTGTGCAAAGTCAAGGGTGGTAGGAGGTGGGGAGTAGAGCTGCATCCCAAAACCGGGATGGGGAGCTTTCCCTGTATTCCCCGCCTACGGGGTCACACGTGTGCACACGCACGCATGCGCGCGCACACACACACACACACACACACACACACAATGGCTAAGACGCCAAACACATGGAGAGTGAGGGTTTCCGGGGGCCAGGATGGCAGGGCAGGGCAAGGGGAGAAGGAGTCGTTGGTCTCACAGTGTGCCTGCCACCCCCGAAGCCCCAAAGACGCCCTCACTGCAGCACCTGCCCCCGGGTCTCAGGCAGTTTCAGGGCCAGAGAGCTACCGAGGGCAAGGGCAGCCGAGGCGAAGAGGATGGGGGCAGCCTTGGTGATGCCCACAAAGGACGTGAAGATGCTGATCCCCAGCACCGCTGCCAGCTTACACAGGGCATTCAAGAAGCCGAAGGCTGTGGTCCTGTCCAGGGGTCCCCCAGCGCAGCACAGGTGGGTCAGCCCAGGAGGCAGACGAGGAGGAGGCATGGGAGGGTTTGTAGGGGAAGGGCGGGGAAGCAGAAGTGAGAGATGGGGGGCAGCGTCCGAGGGGGAGAGGAAGGGCAGAGTTCGGAGAGGTGAGGGATGCGCACCGGGGAATATAGATAAATCGGGAGGCCGGGGAAAAGGAGACCAAAAAATCGGATTAATAGTTAAGACTTCAAGGAGTGAATACAAAAGCTACCAGCTTTTAGAGGAGAAACTTAGTGGGAACGTGTACCCTTCTCTCCCTGAAGATGCTTGTCCCATTCAGCCCCACTTCCTCGCCCCGCTTGTCCCCTGCCCTCTCGACCAGCTGCCCTGCCCCCACCACACTCCAACTACCTCTTGTCCGAGGGGTAGAGTTCGACAGTCAACACGTCCAGCGCGTTCCAGGATGCAATGCTGACCCCCCCAAAAAGGCAGAGCAGAGCGATCATGGCTGACTCACTGTTCCCAAAAGACAGGAAGAAGCAGGAGACACAGGACATCACGCTGGAGCCAGCTAGAGGCAGGAAAGAAGAGAGCGGCGTGAGCCAGGCCGCCGCGGGAGCCATCGCCACCCACCCTGTCCCCCCAGCTGGCACTAAGGGCAGCCCAGGATGAGACTGTTTCCCAAGGTGCCCAAAAGGGAAGCTTTTTACTCATCCCCAGCCTCCCTTCTGATTTTCTTCTTAACGTCAGTACCGACCACTTCTTCGATGCCAGCTGTGGGCCAAGCAACTGGATCTAATACGTCATTGATCGAACGCATCAACCCTATTGAAGCAGGAGAGGCAGCCTAGGGAAGGTCCCCCTGTCCTCCAGGAGGCAGCTCTAGAATTTTTCCTCGGTCCCTCACTCAGCCCTCTCTTCTTGTTTTGATTTCAAGCTTGAGACCCCAGCATGAGAAACAAGCCAAGGCCAGGAGACAAGACAGATGAAGACAGATGGCCTCGGGCCACCTCATCCCCTCCAGGTGGCACGGAAACAAGCCCAGATGGGAGGCGGGCTAGATGGCCTTGGGACACCCCGACCTGCCCACGCGGCTGGGCAGACTCTCCCTGGGCTGCCCACACTTTTCTCTTAAATGTGTACTTCCGCTTTACTAAAACTTGCGCTTTCCTGCCTGCTGTCCGTCGTGTCCTTGAATTCTTTCTCATGGCATAAGACAAGAACCTGGTCACCGGAGTGCCGGGGTCAGGGTCCTCCTTTGGACTCCCGCCCCATCGAGCTCTGTGAGGCAGGTTCTGTCACTATGAGGCAGGTTCTATCATCACCCCCATATTCCACATGAGACACCTGGGCTCACGAGGTTACGGAACTTGCCCAAGGTCCGTGGTGGAGCTGAGAGTCAAAGCCCATAACCTCAAAGCCTGTGCCCTGAACCACTTGCTATCCCGCTACCTCCCTCGCCCCCCAGAGAAGCTTCCAGGCCGCCCTGAACCTTGCTATGCCGCTACCTCCCTCGCCCCCCAGAGAAGCTTCCAGGCCAGGCCCCACCCCCATCTTGCTGCCACCCCATAAGCAGAAGATGTGAGAGAGAAATGCTTCTCTGGCTAAGCTCTTCCACAGACGAAGGTGAGAAGCCTGCCTGTTGACTGTCTCCCCTGGCCCTGGCCCCCTAATCAGTTCTGACACCACCCCCCAGCCTCTCCCCTTACCAAGCATACGGAGCCGGCCAATCTTGTCCATGAGCAGGGCGGACACGATATTCCCAGGAAGCACAGCCAGCGTCCCCAAGAAGCTGACGAAGTATACCATGTAGGCGCCTTCTCCCGTTCCTGTCACATCTAGTGGGCAGCCCTCCTTGTTGTGCAGGAATGTGCTATTCACCAGACGGCTGTTCACAAACTTGTACTCAAACAGGTCTGGGGTGAAGGCCAAGACAGGCAGGCAGTCATGTCGAATGAGAGACAGAGGCTGCTACCGCTTAGGGCTCAGGGCTCTGCCTTGGTGGGGTTTAGCATTGGGGGCTCTCGAATTCGTTCATGGAACTCATTGCAAAACATCAGATTGTTAAACATCACCACAGGAGCTAGGAATCTTTACAGCAGAAAATGTCCATAATCTATCGACTGAAACAGTGTGACTGGCTTTTGCCAAGTTTTCTCCTTAATAGTCTATTTCCTGGTCATTTTTTAAGTCCTCCATGCTGGCGATAAGCAGTAGCAGTGCCATGGTGTAGGAAAAATTAAAATCATTAGAAATCCTATCCATTACTTTTTCCTGCAAGGTGGGAAAAGCTCACCTGGTACGCCATGTAGAGGTGGGAAAGCCCCACTAATGCCATGTGCATATAGTTGGGGAATCACTGATAAAGAACTAGATTAACGCAATGATTCCCAACCTTTTCCCCACCAAATATTCCTTTTATTGTTTTTCTTTTTCCCAAAAGACCCTGTTTTGAATGATTTTACCCTCTTCAACCGTGCCTGAATACCACTGCATCGAGTTGTTTTAATTCTGGGCAAAGAAACTTGATATTTTTGTCAGATAGTCTACCGCAAGAAAGTGTTCAATTTCCATTAGATTTCTGGGCTTATCGGTAGCAGCTAGTAGGCCCCATACCACCTTCCTCCCAGGCTCCAGGGAGCTGAGCTCGAGAACCCTGAGCGAGGGACCGCGAGGTCCACCGTCCACCCAGCCCTTTGGCCTGACGGCCACCAGCCACTCGGCCTTACCAGTGTTATAGAACACGCTGTTGATGAATGTGCAGTTGCGGAAAAACGTGTTGCTGGATGTGACATCCTCAAAATAACACTCCTCGAACAGGGAATCCTCAAAGGACACTGACTTCAGGCGCAGCCCGATGAACCTGGAAGGCCAGGATGATGAGGGGCACTGCCCCCCATCCTCGTGCCCTCCTCCAAGGCTCAACCCCTTAATGAAGTAATGGGAAGCTGTGGCACTGAGGAGAGACACCAGGTCTTTGCCCCAAGACCCACTGTCTCAAAGCTCCCAGACTCAGAAAAGAGGCAAGGGGTGTTAAGGGACAGGGGGAGAATGGAGTATCAAGGCCCCCACATACTTGTCGTTGAAGTACTGTCCCCCTCGGTGGATCTGATTCTCCAGGGTGAAGTTAAAAGTCACGTGCTCTACACGCTCCCCAGGGAACACTTTGGTGCGGGCCGCGTAGTCCACCGCCTGGAGGTGGCGGATCATGTCAGGAAACCAGACAGTCAGGCCGTAGTAGCTGAAGAGTCAAAGGTGATGGAATCAGGCAGGGCTCAGGGACCAGAACCGGCCAGTCCAGAATGAGGGGGAAATCAAGGACCAGCCCATGTCAGCACCTTGCTCCCCGCCCCAGCCTCATTTCTCACCACTCCTCCCTCCACCCTCTGCTGTGGTTCTTCCAACCCTCCCACCGAACTCGTATCTCCCAGGCGTTTGCTCTTCCCTCTGCCTAAAGCAGCCTCCCCATTGCCCCTCAGCTTAACTCCCATTCATCCTTTGGGATTCAGATCCCCACCCCAAATCTGGGCTGGGAAGCCCCCACTCCCGGCCCGTGCTCCCAGAGCACTTTGTGCTGCCCTACGTGGCGCCTGTCACACTGCTCTATAGCTAGTTTCATCTAGCTCCCTGCCCGAGATGTAAACTCCGTGAGGACTGGGGCCACGTCACCTTCGGCCTGGCTCAGTACATGGCACAGAAGAGAAATTTAATCCTGTTCGGGCTGGAAGAGGGTGTGCTGGGAGAATGAATGGAGTAGAGTGCCAGGTGCAGGATCAGAGAGGGGCCCGAACAGCTCCTTTTCTCATTATTCGCGCCCTGCATTTTCATTTTCTCCCCTTCTCTGCCAACCCACACAGCATCCCGTCCACCACGTACCACCCACCCCACCCACTCCTCACCTGAAGGACATGGTGAACCACACACCCATCATCATCAGAGTGATGCGTCGATATTCTGGACCAAAACAGGAGAGGAAATTTCCCCAAACCTAAGCAGAAGAGCAAAGTCAGACAGTGGCTGCACTAACTCCTAGCTCCCCGGACCCCCACGCTTCTGCCCTACCTCCTCCTCAGTTCACCCATGACCCCCACATCGGGCTCGAGCTTGGCCTTCCTCTCCCCCTCCCCCACTCCCTTCTCTCTCTCCGCCATTTAATCCACCATTACCTGCCCCCCCAGGCTCAAGGCCCGGACACCCCAGCGCTGGTACCAGGTCCCTGTGTCTGACTGGATCTCAATCAGCTCATCCTCCTGATGAATCGTCTTAATATGGGTTACCTGGGGTCAAGAGAAGTGGTGAGCAGTCACCTAGTCCTTTTTTCCCAACCCTTTCCGTGTGCCTCAGTTTCTCCTGCAGCAGCAAGATGGGAGGCAGGTGTGCAGGACACCAGGAGAGATCGTGTGGATGAAGAGTACGCTTGGGACGCCTGGAAATCTCTCAGGGGGTGTCCAGAGAGGGGCCAGGTGGAGTTGGGGTGCAGCAGCTTGGAGCACTGGGGGAAGGGCCGTGGCTTACCGAGAAGACGCGCTCGGGGTGTCCCTTGGCTCGCATGTTGGTGTCATGAACTCGCTTCAGCACCATCCAGGCTTCATCGTGCTTCCCGTTCTAGAGCCAGACAGAGCCCACAGCCAGGTCAGCCGTCCCCGGAGCCAGGCTTACAGCCCCACCTTCCACCCTGGCTTCTGGAGTTGTGAGGCACACAAAGGCTCCCGCCCCTGACCCCTGACCTATGGGCACACCCATCACCCACTCAGAAAGAGCCCCAAGTGGAGACACAGCAAAATGTCATCAAATGTGGGCAGGAGTTGGGGGAGATACAAGCATAGTTCCTAGGGATCCCCTGGTCCAATGGAAGAGAAAATTCAAAACAAGGCAAGTGATGACGATGGGCAAGCATGTAGGCAGAGAAGAGGCAGGACCTTAACCTGCTGCACCAAGTTATAGTTGGAGGGCCAGGGCCAAGGCCCCGCCTGTAAAATGTTAAGCCACCCATAGTTGAGCAGATCCCCTCGCTTCTCCACCCACCACGACCCTTCTGGAGATACAGTCTAACAAAGGAAGGGAGATAAAGTCCCACAGAGAATGGACCCTGTGAGGGAGGAAGGCAGCCATGTAGGATCAAACCAAAGCCACAGTGGTGCTGGAACACAGGAGCCCTTGCTGACCCCACCCCCACAGCCCAGTCACCTCCAGGAAGAAGCGGGGACTCTCAGGCTGTGTGGTCAAAGCCCCAATGGCAAACACGGACGGAAAGGCGCAGACGAGGACGAAGACCCTCCAGCTGTGAAACTGATAAGCGGACCCCATCTGAAAGCTCCACCCTGGCGGGGGCAGTCACAGAGTCAGCAGAGAGGCCACTGGTTGGGGGTCCCCACCACAGGGAGCACAGGAGAGGAGGGACATAGTCTGGGGTGCATTCCCTAGGGGCTGCTCACCATAGTGGGGGATGATGGCCCAGGCCATAGCAGCTGCGTACACCCCGCCAATCATCCAGAACATGCAGAGCCAGCTCAAATGCTCCCCACGCTTCTCCTGGGCCAGAAACTCCGAGAAATAGGAGAAGACAATGGGGATGGACCCTCCAATCCTGGAGGGCACGCAAGAATTCAGCATTGGAAAACCACCGTATTCCGGGTCCCCTGCCCCACTGCTCTGGGTGCCCAAGTCCCTTTCATCTTGCAGACCTTTTAGAAGAGACTGGTTCTCACACTTAGTGCCCTACAAATTCATGACTAGCCATCGAGCACCCATCCTGGGGACCGCGGGAACCAGGCAGGCAGGTCTCAGGGAAAAAGAAGGAACGAACATTGATACCACAGAGCTGGAGGAGAGGGAGGATAATTACAGAGAAAGGGAACCACTTCCCCCCCCAAAAAAAATAATAAGATGGGCAAAGAACAGTCTGAGGACAGGCGTGCGGGAGCAGGCCAGAGAGCTCGGAGGCCAAGGCCGTGCGTGCAGGGAGAAGTGTCGGTGTGCGTGCGAGCTCAGACTTCGGGCAGCCGTGGGTATTCACAGGGTCTGTTGTCGAATGCAGGAAATATCTATGTATTCTCTGGGAAGGGGATAACTCAAGGGTCCACGGGTGCCCGGGCGTGAGGCTGAGACCCTCAAGGCCTCTTCGTGGAGCCAGCCTCATTAGGGAACTAAAGGGTAGGGTGGACCAGACATTTCTGGAATGGCTGTGTGGACAGGCAGGAGACAGGTCCAGGACAGGAAGCAGCTGGCCTGAGATGGCAAGAGGAGAAAGGGATCCATTCATTCAACTCAGAGATACTTGAAGTACATCTGGTGTGTCTGGCACTGTGCTGGGCCCTAGAGATACAGCAGCGACCAAGGCACAGTCCTGCCCTCCGGAGGCTGAGGAGGACACTCACCCGACCCCAGAAAGCAGGCGGCAGAAGAGGAAAGTGCCGTAACCCTGGACGAAGGATGAGAAAAAGGCAAAGATGCTGTTCACTGAGAGCGAGATGAGCAGACACTGTCTCCGGCCCAGCCGGTCGGCCAGCCCGCCCCAGAGGAAGGCTCCCACCATCATGCCCAGGTAGACGATGAGGCCTGCGAGGAGGAAAAGAGGCAGGAGCGGGGTGAGCAGACACCACGTCTCCCACTCGCTGACCATGAAATGAGCTGAAGTGCAACAGAATGAACCGAGGACCCGCAGGACTTCGAGAAGCTACGTCTACCCGGAGACGAGAGAAAGCGAGAGACGCTGAATTGTGTGAGCGAACAGGGAAGGCCATCCTGCAGGCCAGGGGTTCGAAGGCGGGAATCCAGACGTGGGAGAACCCCAGAACTCTCACTTTCTCTCCCTCTCCCTTCTCACGCCCTTGTTGTCTGTCACACACAAACACACGCAAATACAACACCCCTGCTTCTGGCTTGCCTGGAACGAGGAATGGATCTGCCTAGGTTCCCAGACTCTCCCAGGGTCCCCTCTAGCCACGCCCCCCTACTTCCGGCCACCGCCTGGATGCTCTCAGAGCAGCAGGTGTCTCTCGTGTTCCCTAGGAAAGTCCCTCATTCCTCCCAGGAAATCCCCCCCACAAAGTCCGTCCTCACTCCCTGCAGCTCCAACACTCCCGGTCAGAAGTGCTCCTGTACCTTACTTCCTTCGTAACTTCAGAGTTGGAAGTAACCTTTAAAACCATCTCCTCCTGCACTGTACCTATGCTCGAGCCAAGTCCCAGGGAGAAGGGACCTGCCCAAGATCTGATGGCAACGTAGTGGCACAGCGAGGCTGAGATCCTTTCTGAATGAGTCTAGGGGTTCCCCCTTCAGGTTCCCCATCTAGCAGGGCCATCGGAGACCACTCGCCAGCCCCTGAGCACTCCCAAGGCTGACCGAAGCAAGTGTGACCAGCTCCTCTGGCTGCAGGCAGACCCAGGATTGTTTCCCTAGCCGCATCGCCCCAAATCGACCCTTCCCATGTCACTTAGGGAGTTTGCATCCTGACTTCCTGTGTCCCCAGTCAGGGAAAGGGAGCAGGCTAACAGGAGAGGAGGCTCTGAAGAAACATTAAATGGGGCCTCTCCCGCCATGGCCACCTCCTACAGAACTAAACAGACCGCCACCCCAGCCCCGGCCGAAGCCCCAGCCCACTGTCCTCCCCCAGAGGAGGGTGTGCGAGGGCAGAGTGCAAAGGACCTTGTGCCCTCTGGGGACATCTTGAGAGGAGGGCGCTGGGACTCCCAGCAGTGAGGACAGTTCTCAGGAGTGGGGGTGTTTGGGGCAGGGCGGGGCTGGGGTGCCCCGGATTTGTCTTACCCAGCATGCCTTTGTTGGAGTCAGACAGGCACATGTCTTTCTCAGCGCTGGGCAGCACGAAGCCCACCACGAAGACCTCGACGCCATCAGCCATCAGTGCCAGACCAAGCACGAAGTAGAGCGTCCACTGGAAGCGGCCGTGGCCACATTCCCGGAGGATGGCTTCGTACTGCTGGGCCAGTTCTTCCCGCTCTTTCCTCCGCTGTGCCTCCCCCCGGCCCCCAGCGGGGCCCTCCCCATCGCCCAAGCCCCCCCTCACACCAGCCAGGGGTGCCCCATCTGCCATCCGCTCGCCTTTGCCCCCAGACTCTGCCCGGGGGATGCCCTGGTATTCCCCTTCGTAGATCTCATCCTCTTCATCGTGGCCCTCGGTGGCATCACTGGATGCGCCACCTTCCTCCTCGTCCTGGGTCCCCTCCCCACGGTAATAGCCGTCAGCAGGGGCAGGGAAGTCATCATCGTCATCATCCTCCTCAAAGCGGGAGTAGGATCTTCGGGAATATTCGTCCTGGACGCGGTCCAGGCCCTTCACCACCTTCTTGGCCGCGTGCTTTTTCACTTCCTTGGCGATGTCTTTGGCCCCGCGGATGAAAGCTGCCCGGTCTCTGAAGCCTTCCTCCATGACGGGGCTTGGGGAGCACGTCACCAGATCGCCCCTCCCCCTGCTCCTTATCGGCCTTTGCTCTAGGACTCGTGGACTCAGAAAGACCCTTCCCCCAGTTACGTAGGTGAAGTGTGTTAGGGTATCTTTGGGCACAGAATAGGAGAAAATGGGGCCTGGCCAGCGAGTGTCTGGGAGAAGAAAGGAGGGAGAGGAGTTTGGCCTACGCCCAGTTCATTTGGGTACACAGGGAAGGGAGAGGGGGGGTAGGGGCATGGGAAAAGGAGGGGGAGCCCGCTCCGGTGGGGCTAAGCTGGGGAGCCAGGATAACTCAAGAAAGGCCGCCTACTTCTCTTCCAGGCACTCTGGAGATCTAGAAAAAATAAGAGGGAGATAGAGGAGGTTGTGAGGCCTCGGTTGGTGAAGAAGGCCGATACAGAGCTCCTGTCAACCCGGAGCCCACCTGTGCCACACGGCATAGGGACGGTCTCCTTGCTTCACGCCTACAGCCAGTAAAAAATGGTTGACTGTCGACGCCAACTGCGGGTCATTCAGCACAAACCCCTTTACTTTGACCTTGGAGACTACACTCATGAGATGTGCTCCCGAGTCACAATCACCACCACAGAGCTCCTCTCCAGACACACCGCCCCCCACCCCCGCCAACTTCAACCTGCAAAGAACAAAGCAGGAAATCGGAGACGGCAGAATTCCCAGCTCTAGTTTGGTCTGCGTTTCTTACTGAGGGCGGAGCTTGGGGAGAATATGTAGGAGGAGCAGCAAGTCATCCAACCTGGGGCCTTCGGTCCACTGATGGCATCTGAAGGTGAGATTCTGCAGTCCCTGCCTCAGGCCTCCCAAGGAGAGGTCTCCCGATGGAGCCCAGTGGGTAAAAACTCAGCTTCCAGAGTCAGACTTGGGTTTGACGCCCTGCTTCAGCACTTACTAGAGCTAAGGGACCACGGGCATGTCTCTGCACATCCAAACCTCAGTTTCCTCTTACTTAAGAAGGGAAAAGTAAGGATTAAGTGACTTCATGGGTATAAGCTCCTTGCCATAGTTCCTGGCATGTAAAAAGCGATGAATAGACATTAGTTATTACCCTCGTGCTGACAATATAGCGAGATGCCATCTACTCCCTCACAAGACCCCAGAACAAAAGCCACTTCTGGGTGAGTGGCAGAGAGGGACACTGGGAAGGAGAAGCTGGTTCGGTGCAAAGCACACAACAGTTATGCAACCTAACTTGAAATCCCAGCTCTGCTATTTACTTACAAACAACTGATCTTCGGCAGGTTACTCGACTTCCCTACGCCTCGGTGCCCTTAAATTTAAATTGGGGATCATAATCTCTATTTCTCCGATTCGACCTCACAGTAGATATTCTATAAATATGAGTTTCCGTCTTTCCTCTGTGATTGAAAAACATGAAAGGAGCAGGAAACAGCAAGAAAAAAAGCAGAGGGGGCGCATACTCGGATGCCCAGTGTCCTCCCAAAAAAGAGTCCCAAGGCCCACCTGTCTGTGTTCAAACTAATTTCAGCATCTGGGCCCACCTTGTCTACGGCCGGACAAACAAGGAAGACGCAGGAAAAGCAGGACCTGGAACCAGAGGGCATGGGGAAGAGGGCAGATCAAAAGCTACGAAAAAGGCGATGACTGGCTGCTGCCACCTCCCTTCAGGATGTCACACGTGGGCCCCTTTTCACTAGTGGGGGTGGGAATGGAGATCACCGAATAAACATACGCTGCCAGCATGGGGGGTGCGGGTCCAAGGGCCTATAGTCCCACTTCATTCCTCCAGGACCTCCCTTCCTAAGCCCCCTTAATCCTTTCTGCTCCTCCAGGAGTCAAGGAGAAGGAAGCCCACAAATACTGCATTGCGTAGGAGGCTGGCATAGAATGAAGGGGGCCTTGAGCCTCCCCCCCAAAAAGAGACATCCTCCAGAGGGAAGCATAGGAGAACCCCCACTTCCTTCATAAAAGCAGAGGAAGCAGGACAAGATTCTTATGAGAGATCATTCCCCTAAAAATATCCTGCCTCCTTCTGCTCCCACCCATCCAAGGCCTTCATTAAAAATGTCACACACACACACACGCACACGCACACGCACGCACGCACGCACATATAGTCACTGGGAGAAGAGGGGTAAGTAATGCTATGTGATTCAGAGAGAAGCCCTGGCAAGCAAGCCTCACCCCCTCAGGACAGACGTAAGCAGTGGACAGGGAAGACCAGAACCTCTGACCCCTATGTCACCTTCTTTTCTTTGTGAATCAGGGTTCAAATCATCCTCCAGGAAAGGGAGGGAACTGTAGAATCCCCTCACTGCGTGGCAATTTGCTCGCCTGTTCTTTCTTTCCCAGCTCGGATCTCCCCCTCAAACCCTGAAGGAGGCAGACGGGCCACCCCGAGCCATATCCTGTGTTTGTTAGCACTGTTTACCCCTGAGGGGCCAAGCAGGGGAGAGAAGGCCCCCCCCCAGAGCCACAGCAGGATATGATGGCTCAACAGCCAGCTCCCCCAGGGCCAACGAGCCCAGGAGGTCAGGAAGGAGAGAAAGAAGACAAATTCTTTGAGCTGGTGGGAAAGTGTTGCTATTTTTAGCCCCAAAAGCAGCACAGGGTAGCTAAGCCTGTGGGAGAGAAAGACTTGGAGAGGTGGAGGCTGCAGGAGACAAGATTCGAGATTACACAGCCCTTTAAGGCAGGCGAGCTTCGCCTGACCAGAAGAATGTACCCAGGAGATGCTTGGCAGAGGAGTGGGGGACCGGGGACTCCTGAGCAAATGCTGCCTTTAGGACAACTCACTCATCCCTGGATAAGAGGAGGATCCAGAAGCCCCCCACCTCCAATCAAAGCTCCTGACTTCGGGAGCCACCCAGATTCCCCAGTCCACCCTAGCCCAGGTGACAAGGTCATTAAGAAGCAGTCACTTATCAAAACATTCGTGGAGGAGGAGATGATGGGGTGGCACGAGGGAGGAGGTGCTGGAGCACTCCTCCCTGTTAGGCTGGGCGATTGAGCCTCAGCCCCCACCCCAGGACAGCCAAGCCTGCACCTCCCCTCCCAGCATCCTGCCCGGGAGAAACACGGTGTCCGCTGAGAGGGCACACGGAGGAACACAGCAGGCGAAGAGGCAGGGACGCAGGAAGAGACGTCCACACGCACAGGCATAACGGCGCCCCTACCAGCGTCTGCGGCGACCCCCGCCCGCATCCCGCCTCTGCTCGGCTGTGAGGGACGAGCCCCTATAACAGGCTGAACTGATTCTCCGCGCCTCCCCTCGCCCTTGGTCCTGCGGCCGGACAAGGGCCCATGGTCAGCGCCCCTTCCGCCAGCTCCCGGAGCAGCTGCCGCCAGCCCGTCATGCGTGCCCAGCCCCGGGGCTTTGCGGGTTCACCATCTCGCCCCAGCATTTCCACCCTTCCTCCCCCTGCCCGCCCTCCTTCACCTGCCCTTCCTCCACGGCCCCCCCACCCCCACCCCAAGTCCAGTCCAGCCAACCGAGGCGGCATCCGCTCTCTGGCCCCAGCCAAGGTCATTTATCATTCCTTTGGGGCGGGGGGGTCGCCAAGGTGAGGAGGGGACTGGCGCTTGAGTGACCCCTGTTCCACCTAAAAACCCCACCACCACCCCGTCAATGTCTGAGGGGAGGACATAGTGAGGGACTTGGCTAAGGCAGAGAAAAACACCTCTCTCTCTCTCTCTGTGTACACACACACACACACACACACACACACACACACACACATGCATATACATATACATATGTGTGTGTATTTCTCTTTCTTTTTATAAAGATTTCCCACTCTTTTGCCTATCTTTGGTTTCTGCTAAATCTAAGTCATGGTGACAGAGATATATTTTTTAAATCAGCACAGCAACTGAAATAAATGTCCATTCAAACCACCACCCAACCCCTCACCCCTAGAGCGAGGACGGTCACCCTCCCCAGCAGCCAAGCATCGGAGGATAAAATGGCTGCAAGGCAGGGATGCTTCTGCCCCAGGCGGGCGGCCGTGAAGGACTGAGCAAGAGTCTCACCTGGGCTGGGTCCCCGGGGTGCGGGAGTCCTGGGTGAGGGCGGGGGTCCCGGCTGTGGCGCAGACGGCAGCGGGGACTGCTCCGGGTACCCGGGGAAGCGGCAATGCAGACCTGACCCCCCAACACGCTCCCGCCCCGCCTCCGCCCCCCCCACCCCGGCGCCGCTGAGCATCGGGAGAGACCATTGTTGGGGGGGGGCGGGCAGAAGGAAAAAGGGACTCGGCACCAGGGAGAAATGATGAAAGGCTGGGGGATTGTCACGGGGACAGCTGGAGACGACACGCAACCCTTTCCAGCCCCTTCCTAGCGGAAGATGAAAGCAACCACGGAAATGGTGATCTCAGGGAGACAAGTGGGAAGACAGAATGGGAAGGGGTGAATGAGGCAGCCCCCTCCTTAGCACCCCAGGCCCAGAATGGCGGGACCCACATATTTTAGGGGCTCTGGCTACCTTCAGGCACCTCCCTTCCCCGTCTCCACCGCTCCCAGCAGCCTTCTCCCAGACTCGGAGTGCTCAGACTACATGTTTACCTGGCTATTTTAGAGAAAGCGGGAAGAACAAGGTGTGGTTTCTGTCCCGAGCTGCCAGAGGTGGAGACTCCTGGATCTCCCCCGCCTCTTTCCAGAAACAGTCCAGATTATTTATTCACGGTGCAGCCCTCCCGTCCTCCACCTGGTCGGCAGCAGAGGTGAGTCCTGGAGAGGCTGAGTTTCACAGGCCCAGGACTAAAAGAGGGACTCCCACGATACCCTTCCCCACTTTCTTGAAAGGAGTGAATTGGTTTCAGTTCTTTTTTCTTTCCTTTATCCTGTACCAAAAACCTGGGCTCAGAGATCCAAGCCACACATACCACTCACTGACCATCCCTGCTCCAGGGGTGAGGGGCTGAGTGGCGGTTTGGGGATGTACATACTGAATGTGTCTGCCTATTCCAGGTAAGGTCTTAGAATATTCTGGACAGAGCACTGACCAGGGGCTCTACCCTGGATCCTTACTTCTAACAAGCTATGGGCTTTTGATCAAGTTCTCTGCCTCTCTGAAGCTCTGTTGTCTCATTTGGAAAATGGGGGGAAGGGGGGCCTGGACTAGAAGCTGTATCAGATCCATTTCAGATCTAATAGTGTGTGATTCTGCTTTGCTAAATGTGGAGGTTTCAGAGTACTGGGGTACTCTACATGGAGAGGACTGGCTGGCTATGTCCCAAGGGACCTCACAGGTGGCATCTCGGTATTGAATTTATCACTGACAAGGGTGTGGACCTGGGTTTCGCAGAGTCCAAAGCCATATCTTAGAAACACTCTTTGTGCCAACAAAGTTTACAACTTACTGAAATATAAAGGCATAATACGTATTAATTTACCACGAGAAATTTAACCGTCACTCAGGCTGAATGAAAACCACGTCCGCACGTCCAGTACATCCTCTCCCTTAAGCCAAATCAGAACGATAATGTCAACGTATAAATGCACAGTGACATAACTGAACAAGAGTGTTCGTATCTTTAATGGCATCTGGCCATTCCCAGTAAGGAGTGGTGCCAATGGGATCAGAAAACTTTTCTTGGCTACAGTCCTCCACCCCCATCTCTGTGCTGTGGGCCAGGGGTGTTGTCACAGGCACAGCTGGACCGCTCTCACTCCGTTGGCTAAAGCATTCTTTCCAAGTCGGTACTTGGGACAGCTGTGCCCACGTGGATCTCAAGGACTCTTCCTTTACTAGGCTTTCACTGCCAACCTTCTTCAAGGTTGACACATTCTTTATTTATGTTAATGCTTTCAATTAGGTTATAGCCAAGTCTTGCTGGCAGGGGGCCATATCTTCTCTTTCAGGTGACTTTGCATATTCTCCATTGATCCATTAATTGCTAAAATAGAAATCTCTATTCTTAGAGAGAAAGCTGGTATTTTTCTAAGTTCCGAGGAAAGATGTCATTGTTGTTCCCAGGTACCGGGACCCCATGCACCTCATCATCTGCTCTTTCACAGTCCCCTTTGCCGGGTCCATTAACATCAGAATTCCCAGGGGCTCAGTCCTGGGCCCTTCCCCTCTCCCACCTACTCTCTCCTTGGTCACTGCAGGTAATCTCATGACTTTAATGCTGTCTACCTGCCGACGTGTCCCGCATTTGTATCTCCAGTCCAGACCTTTCCCCCAAGCCTGTCGTGAAAATCTCCACCTGTCAATTCAACGTCACCACGTGGACAGGTAATAAACATCTCGAACTTAACAGAACCATAAACGAACCTCTGATCCAGGTCTTCCTGGATCCCCTCTTCACTGAGGTGGTAAGGCCAAAAAATCATGGAGTTAGCTATCTGTGTTTCTTTTCTTTCTCTCATCCCTACATCAGCGGGTCTTGTCAGCTCTACTTTCAAAAAATGTATTCTGAATCCACTCCGTCTCACGAGCTCCCCCACCAATCCCCGAGTCTAAGCCATCATCATCTCCTTAGCTACTACAAAAGCCTCTTAACGGGTTTCCTTACTTCTTATCTTGCTCTCCTAAAATGTATTATTCTCGGCAGTCAAGTGAACTTCTACAAACCAATAAGATCTGATCAAAGAAATGAGTGTATATGTCTCACAAAAAGACAAGTATTTTCTTGGCTGCTTAATTTGTAATATTCAAAAACTTCAACTGTCTATCAACCAGAGAATGGTTAAACTTGGACAAATAGTGTTGCATTTATATCATACTATACTATATAATAAATTTATAAAAGAATACTATATAAATTTTTAAAAGACTTAATATATGCAACAGCATAAAAAGATCTCACAAATATGGAGCGAAAGAAAACATTCATTTGACATGTATTATTCAGTAAACATAGTATAATGTGATTAAGCAGTTGGCCCTAAAGTTCTGACAGCTCTTGATTCAATTATTGCATCTACCACTTCTTAGCATGTGACTTTGGCCAACTAACAATATCAGTTTTCTGATCTTAAAAAGGGGGTAAGAACAGAATCAACCTTGGAGGGTTGTTACGAGGACTGGCTGAGATAATACATGTAAAGCACTTAGTACAGTACCTGGCACACAGCAGAGTTCAGTAAACATTAGCTGCTACCATTTTCACAATTATTGTATATGCCAGGTACCTTTCAACACTCTCGGGAGATACAGATTAATAGGACGAGACCTATTAGGGGCTCCTAAGGGATTCGGTTTAATGCAGGGATACTTAGATTGGGATCCATGAACCTTCTCGAAGTTTTGTGTCACGATATTGGATATATAAGCATATATGTATTTTTCTTGGGTAAGGACCATAGTTTATGTCATATTTTTAATGGACGGTCTATGGCCCGCAAAACATTAAAAGCCCCATGGTTAAAGCATGCATTCCAAATGGGGGTGACAGTGCTCCCCGGGGGGTCAAAAGTTGGTTTTGGGGGGGAGGAATCTTAGATATTATAATGGTTTGTCCCTCCAAAGGGCCATAGTACATAAGCAAATATACAGCACGTCTGCAATATTAACTGGCTATACGTGGGGGCACAATTAGGAAAAAATGTCTCCTTAGGGGGACAATAATAAAAACCAAAAACGGTCGAGACACCGTTTTAGTGAATAACAGATGTGGGAGCAGAAGTACCTAAATGGATAAGAAATACTGGCTCTGTTCAGAGAACTGCCGAGTACCAGAATCTGAAAGAGCTGGAGGGTGGAGAGATAAAGGAGAGTTTGGAGAGTCAAACTCAATGACTAGAGGAGGCACTGAGAAATTATTACTGCATGAATGGAAGCTCAGTGATTCTGAGGATGAAGGCCTCAGAAACAGTGGCTCCAAAGAGAAGGAGGGAATGCAGCAAAGGCACCAATGTACCCTGTGATGGTGTCAGTTCATCAACACAGTATCAGGTAACAGCTGAACATACGACACTTAAATCAAAGAACAAGCTACGAATTTGCTGAAGTCCTCAAGGATCAGTTAGAAGAGCCATTTCATCTGATAGATGACATGGAGGCAGAAAGCAGAGAAAGTGGGACAAAGCCTTCCACCACCTGGGGTTGCTCCAGGGCTGGCCTCTGACACCTGAGTCCAGCAGCCGCCAGCTCTGCCAGGTTCCAAGTGCTCCTGGGACCTCGGCACATGACCACATCCACATCCAAGCAACTTTGGAGCGGAGCTCGGTCTGAAATTAAGAAGTCAGTTAATCCCATTGAGGTTTAGAAGCCTGGCATCCTTAGCCACTCACGGTACGAAATATCATGCCTAAAGCATCCTCAAGATTTAGACACACACATAACCGACATCCATTAGACTATTCCGCCTGCACGTCTCACAACTCACCTCAAAGGTGGCACATCCAAAACTGAATGCATCACGTCCATCCTGCCCCGCCGCCCCCCCCCCCGGCCCCCGGATTCTTCCTGCTGCATGCTCTCGTCCTCGGTTCCACTCTCCCCTTCATTCTCTATATCCACCCCAACACCAAGTCCTATTTCGCCTTTTAAACACCTCCCCAATGCATCTCTTCTGCTTCATCCCAGCTCCTGCCACGGCCCTCATTTAGGACTTCATCTCTCACCTGCATTACTGCCAGGTGCATAACTTGGTACTTGTCCCGGTCTCCATCTCTCAAATCTACATGGCTGCCGTGGTCCTCAAACACAAATCTGTCATTCCCTTGCTTCGATCCCTCCTGTGGCTCCCTCTCATGGATTACGGCTTCCCGACCAGTGTGCCCCGACAGTGTGCTCAGGTGTTCATTCTCTCAGTACTCTGGGCCGCTCGGCAGAGCCTGGGACAGCTAGAATCCTGAGCCAACTGCCTCCAGCCTGAAGCGGCCACCTCCCTTCCCCTCAGTATGCTGCTGCATGTGGCTCGCTGCCACGTGAAAAGGCGCTGAGCAGCACTGATCCGTGGAACCTCCCGAACCACCTCGAGCCCCATCCTGTGGCCAACGCTGAACGGCTCTGGCGTATCACACGCCACGCCATTTATCTCTGCTCCTGCTCAGGAGGAGCGAGCATCCCCTTCGCCTCTGCCTGGGGAACCTCCACCCTTCCTTGAAATTACCTTTGTCACCTTTTCTCCTGGGACGTTTTCTTGCTTAGATACCCTTCCTCTGCTCTCCAACTATTCTGTTTCATAATAATCTCCCATGTGTCGGTCTACACCCTTGCCAACGATTGGACAGAACTGCTTTGCTCGTCTTTACCTCCTCAGCTGCCCCAGCAGAGCCCATAAAAATGTCACATGAAAGAGAATGATGCAGAACGAGGCCATGCTCACCTTTTCTTAGCCAAAGTTTAGGGAAAGTTTAGAGTTACGTAAATCAAAAAAAAAAAAAAAGATTCAAGAAGGGGGTGATGTAACAGGATTAAATGATGCAAAGAACAGAAAAATGGGCCATTGGATTTAGTCTAGTTACTGACTCTTTGAGCACAGATTTCTGTGTGATGTAACTCGGTTTGGAAGAACCGAGGAGAAAAAAACGGGAATAAGATACAAATCCCTTATCTAAGATGTCTGGTGGTAAAGAACAGAAGAAAATGAAGGTTTACCGAGTTCCTACTCTTCCAATTTCTACTTTGTTTTGCAATTATCTAAAACACATATATGGTTCCAAAGAAAAGGAACACAGCAGGCTGAGAAATTCGGCTTTCCTCTGTGACGCGCCCCCCCAACCACAGTGGCATCCATTTCCACTAGTTTTAGGTTTATCCTTCCATTTTTTAAATATAAACAAACGTATGTATTACATGCCACCCCTTAGTTATGCAAGTGGCAAACTACACGTTCTGTCCTGTGTGGGACGACTCGGCTCCGCCTGGAGATGTCCCTTTTCAAACAGTCGCAGCGTCCTCCTCGTTCCTCTCTGCGGCTGCGCGGCGCTCGCTGTGTGGATTTACCGGTTGACTCAACCAGTCCCCTACCGACCGCGCGTGAGCTGTTTCCAATCCAGCTCTGACGAACAGTGCTTGTTGCAATAAACGGCTCTGTGCAGGTAGCTTCCTATTTTTGCCTGCGTCATCTCCAGAAACTTTGCTCGTGTTTTCACTTACTATTCACGGGAACCTACGCCACTGCTTCTGAGTGTCAACACCGATGCAGAGAAGCAACTGCCCCGACGGAACGAGCCTGTACGAGCGGAAGAAAAGCCCTCACTGCTACCTCATCGCTGTGCTCCCAACACGCTGACGTGTCTCCTTACAGGGAGAGGAAAAGTTACTTTGCCAAGGAAGAGACCACAAAGAATAAACAAGGAGTTTAGTTTTATTATCTCTGTGTATCTGTAAAACACGTAGGACCAACACAGAAAACAATAAAACCTCCTGTGAAAAGATTACTTAAAAAAAAGAAAAAAAAAAAAGAGGCCTGAGAGGCATCAGTGCCTTAGTCCCAGGGAGCTACACAACTCTGATTGGTCCGAGGAATTGAAAAGGTGTTAGGAGAACACACCAGGAGAAAAGAGAATGCGAAGTTACTGAGGGAGAGGGCCTCGAAGAGGGCCGCGAGGGGGAACGGGGGGTCGGGGAGTGGGTCTGGGTGGAGGGAGGGGCCCCCGCTGGTAGCCGTAGGGAGGGGGTCGTGGAGGGCCAGTGTATCCGTGAGGGGGCATCAGTGGAGGGGGTCCACGCATACCATGTGGAGGCATAGGACCTGGGTGCCCTGTAGAGAGAGAAAGGAAAGTTAGTAACAGAAATGGGAGATGGCTGATGCTGAGACAACACAGCGGAGGGCGGACAGGGAGATGCTAAGAAGGAAGGAAAGGAGGGGAAAAGGAATGTGACCAGGGAGGCCGCGGGAAACCGACATGTGAGGACAGGGAGGTGGCCAGAGGCTACTCACCCATGGGAGAGCCAAATGGAGGCCCTCGGGGGGGCATGCCCATTGGAGGAGGTCCAGGATGAGGCATCCCAGGTGGTGGTCGAGGTGGTGGCTGCCCCCCAGATCCTGGGGGCCCAGCATGGGGGTGTCCTAAGCCATGAGGGCCATGGTGGGCCAGCTGCATCTGAGACATCCCTATGAGAACAAAGCAGACGCATAAGGAAACGGAGACAAGGACAAAGAAAAGGAAGAAAAAGAGAAAACGAAATGGAGGAGAAGTGACATCAGGAAGAGTGTGGAAGGTTAAGGCTGACAAAAATAAAAGTGCCCTTATCTTCGACCCTATTCCGACGGCACACAGCGACCGAATGCCCAATCAATTCCCCACTCGGTTCACTGCTTCCCCCGTGACAGGCACGGTCATGGTGCTATTGAAGTATGATAGACGGAGGGACCTGCTCATAGGATTCGAGAACATAGCAGAGATGCCGTCTGAACAAAGATCTATTTCTAAAGGATAAGAATTTTTCAGGTGGACAGAGTGAGAACAGAACATCGCAGGCAGAAGAAAAAAAGCATGTGCAAATCACAGGTGTGTCAAGCAGCACAGTATGTTCCTGGAAAACCAGCAACTCAGGAGCCAGCGGCACCACACAGTCACGGGAGTAAGGGGCAGGGACCGGGTCGTGAAAAGCCTAGAATGTTATGGTAATGAGTCTGGGCTTTATTCTGTAGAAACAAGAATTTTGAGCAAAGGTGTATAGATATCTGTGTTTTCAAAAAATTACTCTGAGAGTGGATCAAAGGTAGATAAAATTGGACTCAAAAAGTGTTAGGAAATTCCTACAATAAATCAGGTGTGAAATTAGGAGGGTCTGAGGACCTGAACTGGGGCACTGGCAGTGGGGCTGGTGCCAATGATACTAATAAGACTTAGTTTCAAGAGTGGGGTGACAGGGAAAAGTCAAACATAACTCCAAGACCTCTGAATCATGCATCTGGAAACAGAGAACACTAGAGGAAGGGGAGGAGGAAGGAGGTGGAGCTGTCCATTCGGCAGCAAGATGAAGACTCTGGAACGTTAACATGGATCAAAGACACAGACCTAGGAGGCATCAGTGTATAGCTAAAGGAGCTATGCAGAAAAGAGAACCAAACACAAAAACCTACGGACAAGCACAGAAAAGGGAGCCTGTTAAGGTAGCTGAGACTGAGTAGACAGAAGGATAGAGGGAAGATCTGGATAAAAAAAAAAAAGATTTTCAAACAAGACATGGCCAGTGTTACATTAAGAGCAAAGGTCAAACCAGATAAGGGGCAGAAGTGTCCCCTAGACTTGGCATTATGGTCACTGTTATGGGGTGAAAGTCAGAGAAGAGAATGGAAGTAAAGGTCAAGGAAGAAACGACGAGCGCAGTTGTACTCCTGGGAAAAATGCAAGAAATGGAAATAGGGTGAGAGTTGTTAAAGCAGAGAAAGTAAAATATTTTGTGTTTGTTTTTATAAAACAATGTCTGAAGGTCAGCTCTGGAACTCTATTATTGTTGAGGGACAAAGGGCAGCAGCCTAAGTGGTGACAGAGCTCCTCTTCCTGGCTCGTCCCTCCCTTTCTCAGCAGAGAGCACCCACCTGGATGGGGCATCCCGCCCGGTGGGAATGGGTGAGGATGTGAGTGTCCATGTCCAGGATGTCCAGCTCCTGGGGATCCTGCTGATGGGGGCCCATGTCCTCCGGCCCCGGGCGGCATAGGTGGTGGGGGCATAGCTGGGGGTATCCCAGGTGGAAGGGCTCCAGGAGGTGGCACGGGGGGTGGGAAGGAGCCAGGAGGCGGCATGCCTGTGGAGGGAATGGAATTGAGTTCATGATAGTGCAGACAAAATGTCCTTAGAGACCTGCTCCAGTCTGGCCCCTCCAGGCAGAATGAGTTCTGTTCCCCTCCCCGCAGCTCTCTAAAGCCAGAAGCAACGGGATTCAACACTAAGAACTTCAGCCTCCTGGAGAAACTCAGCAGCTTTCCTCCCCACAACTACCACCCTCCATCCCCTTCTCATCACCCACTGACTCAATGTCCCCCTTTACTGGTTCTTTTCCTTCTTCCTGTCCTATCCCCCTAAGCCCAAAACAAACACATTCTGAATCAAAAGCTTTACCTGGTGGAGGAAGTCCAGACCCCAATGATGACACCACAGGATTGGGGGCAGAGGGTGGAGGGGGTGCATCTGCAAACAGCTGATGAGGGCGGTCAGCCTGGGACAGTGGGTTCTGAGCTGCCAGAAGTCGTTCGGCTGCTGAGCCGTGGCGCTCACCCTTGGAGTCCTTCTTGAAGGCGTAGGACACGGTAATAGGGCGGTTACAGAGGTACTGCCCATTCATGGCCTCAATCGCTGCATCCGAAGCATCAAACGAAGCAAAATTAATAAAGGCATAACCTTTGGAGTTGCCTGTGTCAGGGTCCCGCATAATCTTGGGAGTTTGTAAGATGACCCCAAAAGCGCTGAAAGTGTCATAAAGCAGCTTCTCATCAATCTCTGGGTCCAGGTTCCCAATGAAAATGTTGGCCCCCACATCCAGGTTTTTGTTGTGGGCCGATGCCTTGTTCACCCGGATCGGCTTCCCATAGAGTTTGATCATGTTCATGATCTTAATGGCATAGTCGGCATCTTCCTCACTCAAGAATTCCACAAAGCCGTAGCCTGGGGAAGGGGGAGAGAGGTTAACAACTGAAGTGAAGTAGTTCAAAATGGGGTATAACTCATCCACCTTTGAAAGCACAAAGAACAAAAAATAACAACCTCGATTCGATTGAGAACAGTCCCAGAAACAAACTGTGAGCTAGGCTAGGTTGCTTATTCCAAAACAGGTGTGAATACCGCTGGGGCCCACCGGTAACACTGTGTCCCCTCAATATTAAAACGCACCACTTGGCATGTACTCACCTTGATGCTGACCAGTGACTCTGTCCTTTGGCATGTGGGTGTTGACCACTGGCCCTGCCTGGAGAAATAGCTCCCACAGCAGCGGTTCGCTAACCTTCTCATCCAGGCCGCCCACGTACACAGTGGCATCTGGACCGTGGAGCAAGAGGTTAAAGCAGAGATGAGTATAACGTGAAGGGAGATGACAGGATCATGAAGATGGAACCCAGGCAGGGGAATTGGGGGTGGAGAGGAAGTAAAGGAGCAAAAAGGAAACAAAACAAAACAAAAAAAGGACGTTAAATTAAGCCCTTACACCTCCCTCTTTCCAGGAACTAGAGAATCAATTTTAAGTCTAATTTAGAGTTCTGCTGCAAATTCTTTTCGATTTTTTTCTTTGGAGGGTGAGGGGGTGGGAAGGCAGACGACTGGACATAGAATCACGCCTACAAGGCCTGAGCCTGCACCCGGCCACCCCGCCCCCAACATGCACGGCGGCCGGTCTCGCGCCCTCCGGGGTGGCCCAATCTCCCGCCCACATGGAAAGACCGCTGGCACCCTTCGGGGCCTCCCAGCCCCCACGGACCCATTCTGGGCTCGTTCCTCCCACTCACCCTGGTTCCGCTCGGAGATCGGCCCGGCCGCCATGGCGAACGAGCTCCCGCAGTCTCCAGGGAGCGAGTCCGCGCTCCGACCTCGGCTACTACTTC